AATGACCAGTGATGTTGAACATTTTTTCATGTTTATTTGCCATCTCTACCTTCTTTGAGAAATGTCTGTTCATTTCAGATGCCCATTTTTGGATTGGGTCTTTAAAATTGGGATTTTTTTTTTTAAGTTCTTTACAGATTCTAGATAGTAGACCTTTGTCTGAGGGACCGCTGGTGAAAATTTTTTCCCAGATTGTGGGTTGTCTCTTCACACTGCCAGTGGTTTCTCTTGCTCTGCAGAAGCTTTTTAATAAGAAGAGATCCCACTTGTTGATTGTTTGTGCCAGTTCCCGGGCAAATGAGGTTTTGTTCATAAAGTCTTTTCCTACCCCAATGTCTTCAAGAGTTCTACCTAACCTCTGTTCCAGCCAGTTGAGCGTGTTTTTATACTTAGACCATTAATCCATTTCGATTTTAGTTTAGTGCATGGTGATATAATGATTTTTAAAAACTGTTTACACTGCTGGGGATCAAACCCAAAGACTCATACTCTAGACAAGTAGTCTACCACTGAGCTACAACCTCTGCCCCATTCACCCATCGTTTTCATTTGTAGGTGTACTGAAGTTCTGAAATCCTCACCTAAGTTAGTATAGTTATTATATTCATTTTAACAAATGCTGATACATACTATATGAAGTCTATACCATAACAACAAAAAAGAAATCAGGCCTGGTGGCACACACTTGTAATGGCACACACTGGGGAGGCTGAGGCAGGAGGCCAGCCTAGACTACATAGTGAGTGAGCTGAAGGCCAGCCTGAACTACCTATCAAGGCCCTGTTTCAGAAAACAAAAAACACGCGCGCACGCACACACACACACAATTTTTTAAAAAAAGATTAAATGGAAACAAATCAATCAACCACGATGTTCAAAAATATCTTTCTCAGGAAGGAAGGGATAAGAAGAAAAGTGAAAATAGAAGAAAAAGTGAAAACAAAGTACATAGGGAGGGGAGGGGGCTTGAGGGGGGGAATGGGATAAAATAAAAAATAAAAAAATCTTTCCATTTTGGCAGCAAATCAATCACTAAGTCTGGTTATCAACTTGAGAAATATTTCGCTCCACAAAAGTTTAAACATTTACCTTTTATAAAAGAAAACCCCGGAAAACCCTACCATTTGGAAGGATTGCTAAATACATGTTCATTAACACCTTCTTAGAATCTCTTTCTGTTAAAAATACTTTTTCAGGGCCGGGGATTTAGCTCAGTGGTGTCACCGCCTGCTGTGCAAGTGCAAGGACCCAAGTTCGATCCCTGGTAGAAAAAAAAAAACCAAAAAACTTTTTCATAGAATGAGTCACCTATATATGCTTGTTTCAGACATTCAGTTTCATTCAACATAACACAGCACCTTTTCAGATATATGCAAGTACCATAACTGTTTAAATCATACCACCAGGTATATATTTAACTTTTCCAAATTTGGTGTAATTGTAGATATAGTTAACTTCTTTGGTACTTCTTTCCACTCTTGTCCAAGTATCTCTATAGGAATAAAATCGTGGAACAAGATGCTATGTACATAACTAAAGCATGATGGCTTTACAAGATGATGCAGATGCTCTGGGAAACTGAGGCAAGCAAGTTTGAACCTAGCCACAGCAACTTAGCAAGACCCTGTCACAAAATTTTTTTTGAGGCAGGGTCTCACTTTGTAGTGCAGGCTAGCCCCCAACTTGCAGCAATCCTCCTGCCTCAACTTCCCAAGTGCTGGGTTTACAGGTGTGCACCACCACACCTGGCTTAAAAATGCTTTTAAAAGGCTGTGGATGTAGCTCAGTGTGAACGTCCCAGGTTCAACCCCCATTACAAGAAAGATTATGCTATACTTTGCAAATGCACT